TTAGACACCTTTTGGAGCAGCCTCACAATGACCCAATGACTTGAAAATTGTTGCAAAAGTCCGTCACTAGCACCACCAAAGATGCAGCCCTTGGAGAGGCCCACGAGAGCCATGCCACTCCCCCGAACGTCGTTGAGTGCCCGCCGATCATCCCGCCGCCCGCCTCGCGCCGTGATCCGAAGCCCGCACGTGATACGGTCACGTGAACGCATCATGTGATAGGTACTGTACCTACCCTTCTGGCGGGGGGTGTACAGTACATGGTACGGTACGGTACAGTACCGGTACTTATGCTCGGTACCCATGTTTTGGGGGTTAGGTCCGCCACCCTAGGTTCATCAAACTACTACAGAGATTCTCTGAGCAAGATTTTTGACAAAGTTAACAATTTAGTATGTACCTTTGGATGAGCCATTCCGGATACAGAACATTCTTGAGCCGTTTGGATTCGGAACGGCTCCCAATACATGATTTGTCAACTTCATCAATGATTTTGCTCAGTGAACGGTGAACCTCTGCAGTTTGATGGACCCTGCTTAGTGAAACTGATATAAAATTTGTAAGAAACAGTTTACCATTGATCTATCATCTCACGGTTAACCATTGTTACCATTCACCACTCCATTAGAAACAGTGGTATTATGGTAAAACAAAACGACACCAGCAGGGTTCGAACCTGCGCCCTCAAAGAGGAGAAGATGAGACAAGATAGTGACTAATCAGTGCCATGAGACACGATCAGGCTACAAATTCAAATCTTCCGCCGTAACCACTTGGCTATAGTGCCTTGACGAAAACATGGCAATGATAATAACGTAATCACTAGAGAAAAAGACGCCTGACAATGGCAGATCGCCAAATCGAATCCCTCCAAAGGTCAAATTGGGGACGAGGCAATTCAAATCCGCATGCCAGCTCCTTGGAGGCGGTGAGGTATGAACGGTATAAACGATAGCGCTTCTAAGCCCACACGAAAGCGGACCCCATCACGACGATAATCTAACGCCAGTTATCATATAAGCGTGCAATGATAGTCTAGCCTAAGCACATTGTTTCCAGTGCGGCGAAGAGAAGTTGTCTTCTTGGTACCGTCGTTCATCCGGATTCTCTCCGCTGATTTCGTCTCCATCGGTCTGAACTTGACCTACACACATTTCACCGACAGGTGCTACAGTTAGTGTGCCTCTATCGTTATACAATATTAGCACTTGACATCACAACTCGATTGAAGTTAGTAACCCGAAGGCGTTCCGTAGATCGTAGCTCGCCTTCAGGGTCTGTAGAGCTGTGTAGTAAACTCCATAATATGTACTGCCCTGTGAGTTTCTTTTCGCAGTCATCCTAAAGAAGTGAGTTACGCAACCATCATTGTCAAGACGTAGTCGGAGTCGAGGTAGTCATACGACGGGCATGCTGAAGCGACGGGATAGACACTCTCCAAGGGCTCATTCTCGCCGTCGATGGTACGTACCACAACGGCGGGCTCGGGGCTCGGTGGGAAACCACTCCGACGAAATACCGTTCCTGTGCACCTGATTGCCAACGTAGAGATTCCATCCTAACTGCTTAGAAAATCTACACTGTACAGTAAGCACGGATCGCACCACGACCTTGCCGTTGGTATCCATGGACTGGTGTGTGTCGCTGGTCATTGGCCACCAGAGCAACGAAACGGGAGAAAGATGTGATCTGTGTTTCTCATCGTCCTGCAGCGTCATAAAGACTTGGAAAGAACGTTAAGGAATTGCAGTCCACCCCTGTAGAGTCGAGGACGCGGGCCGCCGAAATTTCAAAATCTGTATGTCCGACCACGAGGGTGATGGGTTGCGCACGATGCATTTTCCAAATCCATGAGAACCCATTGCGACGATAATCTAATAGTGCCAGTGATGGTGGTTGAAGAGTGAGGTGACGAATAAGTTAAAGACACGACTGAATGCAGATGATCGACTTGTATAACCAACCCAAAAAACCCAAAAACAAATCATGAACAAACAGCAGAAATCCAGGGTACAACACGCAATGAAACGAAGGGCTTGAAGGGATGACGGGCTCCGGGGAGTCACACGATGGGACTCCATGCAAGGTCGCGACATGCAGAAGCGACGGGGCAGACGAAGGGCGCATTCTCATCGTCAATGACAACGGCGGTCTCAGGAATTGGTGGGTCGGGTCCGGCATTGACCATGGGGACTTCAGGTTTTTTGAGTTTACCTAGGGCGACCGTAAGGAAATGCATATGGCATATAGGATATTAGTTACCCGAAAAGCATCGTGACGAGGTTGAGACCACTGATGCAACCTGGTCCGCTGTGACGACTTCAACTAGGAGTCGGACGCGGGGAGGGTCCTTGTCTGATGGTTCGAGCGGCGGGGGAGTACCCATAGGTGCCATCCTGAATTCGGAAAATAGTGTGGCCAATGACGGAAATGAACTGGATGGCTCGGAGGGAATGAACTGGAGGGACGACTTTATAGTATTGCGACTGGGAAAGACAAAGGTGTGACTGGTGGGCGCTGTAGACGGGCCTGGTTGGGAAAAGTCGCCCGCTGTCTTTGACACCGTGGCTGTCATTGGAAATTCAGCGGGGGCGACAGACAATGCAGAACTATACACACCTTGGTCCATCGACTCAAGGTGAATCCATGGTGTTCCTGGGTTAAAGCCGAGCTCTCTGTCCCTCAGAGAACACAATATTTCCACTTGATCGCGTTGTCGCTGAAGCAGTTCCTCCTTCGTCGATGTGGGTACGATTGTCGAGCCCGACGACACGCTGGACACTCGCTGGAACCGTGGGCGTTTTGGCACAGAAGGTAAGAGCGGAGAGAGTCCATTTATAATGCCATGTTCAGGCATCTGTTTAGACATGGCAGGGCATTGTCGAGTGCAGATGATGATGGTCGCGAGAGAGATCGAACCACGATCGTCATGGAATGACGAGCGTCGAGTTTAGTCAAACGGAGACTGCTTATTTCCCCGCACCGGGCCGAGAAGTAAGCGCCGCATCGCGAGCTTCCAAGAGTGTCCATACGAACGCCGACGAGAACTCAACATATCATCGCGAGGTCCTGGTCAGTCTTGGGCCAGTAGTGACAATCTCGGAGAAGAGGTACAACCAATCATTGAATGCGCTATATTATAAACACTACACTAGATATTTACCTACAGAATGCCTCGCTGGTCTGTCCATATCCTACATGTAATTATCATTTGGGACACCCAAGTATCTTAAATGCCTGTCGTAGGAAGTTGGTTAGGACCAGAGGCCCAAGTGTCGGTCTCACCGTTCCATTTCAAATTCTTTGCCACCGCCAATGGCCACAACTCAACAGGCTCGCGCGTCTTCTTGTCAAATGCATAGACAGGAATGTGGTCGAGCATCCAAGGATGGCTGAGTGCGTTCTGTGCTGTCAGTCGCGATGCTACGGGTTGGCAAATGAGGGCAGTCGTAAACAGTACGCCTGGCGCACTTTCAGCATAAGCAGTTCAGATCAAGAAAGGAATGGCGCACCATTTTGGCTCAAGCCTGTCCGTCCAAGGCGCTCTTCGCTGCATCCTCTGGATTGGCTCTCCCTGTATTGTTCGCGCGTTACCCTGCACATGCGCCTCAGTCGAGATCAATAAAGTAATGAATAGCGTACAAGTTGTAGACCACTACCCCTGCGGCCCAGTTATCCACTGCAACAGTGTAAGAGCCACCCTCAATACCCTGTTCAGGTGCGGCATAAGGGGCACATCCAATGTTAAATGTCTAATATTTCAGGTTAGCAAGAACAAGCGATGAAACTGAAGGGGCCACCCCAAATGCTGCGCCCGCCGACGCTAATTTAGACATTCCAAAGTCGGCAAGTTTGAGCACAGGCGGATTGTGAAGGGTGAGAAGGAGATTCTGCAACACGTGAGTTGCGTCTACATAGCAAAGTAACGGACACTGACGTCGGGTTTGATATCTCGGTGCACGATATTTTGCTTGTGAAGATACTGTCGATGCGGGTCAGACTGTCGTTTTGTAGCATTTCCGTCCGTATACGTACGGCAAGTGCACCCATAAGATGTAGTGTGAAGTGCTGCACGAGCGGCTCAGACCATTTCTTTGTTGGATCATCAAGCCAGTCTTGAAGGGCACCTCCAGGCATATACTCTTGTACTAGCCCTGCATTTCCGTTAGCGCTATTTCGTTGAGATGTGAGTAAATGCGGACGAACTCAACCCATTCCCAGCAAGCCCATCGCCGTCGAAGCAGTATCGGTCCATCAACGTGACAATGTTTTCGTGCTCACCAGAGACCCTCTGCATTACCTCAAGCTCCGCTAGGAAGAAACGATAGTTTTCGCCCTTGAGCGTGACCCTTTGGACATGCTTGATTGCGACTCTGGCATGGTCAGATTTGCGCAAGCCTTCGTACACGGTCGCGAAAGCGCCGCATCCGATGCGCCGTAGTGCTGTGTACCGACACAAGCTGGCCGAGGCGGGGCTCGTGTATTCGTATCTGTAGTCTGAGAAAGACCGTTGAATAAGCTTGGGATTGGTTTGGCTAGTGATGACTTACGATAGCGAAGTTGTGGGCCGAATGAGATAGTGTCGCCGTGTTTCAAGCATCGCCAGCACAATCGACCAATTCGCTGTTCATTATGCTAGTGGCCAAGCATCAGACCGGATAACAGCGGTGTGAAGGGAACGTGTAACTTACCCATGTACCGTTCATAGACGTGTCTTGAATTTTCACCACGTCGTCCTCCTTGATGATGCGAAAGTGGATTTGGCCTAGAGATTAGTCAAAATTCTCTCCTAGGCAATGTCAAGACGAAAAGAAGTATACGTCCAGCGGCCGGCGCAGGAAACTGGACGAGGCATAGCCCGAGGCGCTCATCTATGGAATTCACGAGAGTTCATGACCTACTGATTGTTTTGTCGTCTACGACGGGATGCGTTGCGCTGCAAACCATCGCGTCCAAGTCCCATCGCCCAACGGTCACCTCCTTCTTCTTTAAGCAGATTTCCTGTGACTGTCCATCGGTCGGAATATAGCCCTCCCTGTCGAACTGTCTCCGCGGGTCGGGAAATATGCAGGGTGTACAAGCTTGCGGGGTCGAAGCCTCTCGAGGGATTGAGACCAGTCGACCCCAGAAATCGTTGTGCTCTCCATCGTTGATACCAGCGAGGTGCGGAAGCGGCGTTTCTTGGAAAGCTTGCCGCTGGATGACGCCAGGTGCAGTTTGAAATTTTCGAATCCGCATAATATGGGGTATGTATAACGATTGATGTTTAGAGTATGAGAAAGTCGCGCCGTAGATTAGTTCCAGATGAGCAGTGCGAGAGGAAGAGAGATTGATACAGCCACCAGAAGGTCAGTCCGTTATATACAGGGCCGTATACGAGAAGTGGCAAAGACCGACCAAGGACTGACAAAAGGCCTTCTGGGAGCAGTCAGCCTGATGATGGTACACATCCAACGTCAAGGCCTTCTGTTTGTCCTTTTGTCATTGTTTGTGTTCTACAATCGTCCGGACTCCGATCAACATACAACAATGACAGTGGTATTGCCATGACGATAAGTCGCTCCGAGATGAATGCATGACACATCGCTGCAAGATTGAGAGGCATGTGCCTATGAATGGCAGCAGTCTGATGGCCTCGTTGGCTTGTACCAACGGTGCACTGACTTGAGCCAACTTCCACTGCACCTCGCTGTCAAGCTACAAACAGCCCAGATGCCACTTGGTCATCGAGGTCAAATCGGCATCGTCGCGTGGTAATTAATGGTAGTAGGAGAAAACACTTACGAT